GATTGCCTGAGCTACGTATATGATTGCCTGAGCATTGTACATGTAGCGAAACTTCAACTCTGACACGGCTACGACGATCCAAGTGGACGAACAAATAATGGGAAGCAGCTGAGGTGGGGGCCATCAAATCATTAGGCAATCTTGTCGGCTGTAGGAGTAGACTGTAGGATTGGTCCTAAACATTCCTCAAGCAAAAGCAACGAACAGGGTTAAGTGCAACCCGGGCCACGGCACCGGTCGCTATGCGTACCTCGGCCTCCAAAGAAGGCAACCCGGTGCATCATCACACTTGGTCGGAGAAAAGGGCCCGCAGTGTCTCGGCGCCCGAGTCCGAATCCCGACCACCCGGTAGGTACGTGCTGAATCCAATGGAGTGCCTCAGTATTCACGATTGCGCATGCATGAGTAACAGGCAGGAACCGGGCGGCCTCGTATGTACAGTAGAAAACTTTCAATTTAACCGGTAGCTTCTTTGCGCAGCGCACTCCGACTGCGCGCCAGGCAACATCCGATGATGTTGATCGGGTTAAACTCTCCCGATCGGGTACCATGGAACACGTTAGGTAATACCTACACGATTGACATCTTACGTATAGGTACCTACATTGTAACGGTTAACCCCCAACGTGGATAATGCATTTGCAACTCAAGATAACTGTTACGACCGGTAATAACAGTTTTACTAAAATGAGACCATTATATCGCCGTACGAAGTAATTGGCTGATTCTACCCCCTGCGTTTCAGTCACACTAAATGGGTTAACCGGTATACGGTTCGCGAAGCTGTTTCGGAACAAGTACCGTAATGTGATGAGAGTAGCGTTCAGAACGGGCACAACTATCAAAAGCCCAAATGATCGAAGACTCAGAAGTGTAACTTTCACCAAGCGCCGTACGGACGAAGCTGTACGGTGTAGTAACGCGAGTCGGAACTAGACGACGCTTTCAAGCGTGTCGATTCCCGAACTAAACGGCCGATAGACACGGGATGGATTTGCGCCGTGCAAGCCTGGATTGAGCCTCATTGAACGTGTTGCCCCGGATCGGCCCCGGATCGGCCCAAGATCAGATCATTCGCCCTATGACAATCTCGGTTTATTGCTTCCCTTTTGTTCCTTTACTGTACTGCGCAAGCTAGGTACCAGAGTGACAGTCCAGACTGTGCAGCTATCTACGGTACCTAGTATGGTCCGCTGAGCACTCAGACTTCAGGACTCCGCTTTTATAGGTTGCTGAGATCATTGCTACCGACAATTTTTAGCTGACAGACATGATGGTATGTACTTAGCTAGGTAGGCATCTTGGCGGAGCTGGATGCTGCCGCGCAATGTGGCAGGGCGGCCAGCGTCGCCGTGATCAGAATTTGGACGCAATATATACGGTACCTAGGATCCGACAAGAGGTTCCTGGTTAGGGCCGCAGGGCCGGAACAAGTGCCAATGTTGCCATGATGTTTACAGCATTTCAGCTCGCAACGATAGGATTTTTGATACTTTCGGAAGGTTGTATCTGCATTCCGCCCAAGATGTCTCTGGACCACTACGCACGGGTTTGAAGAGCGAAGTGATGTCAACAGCGTTTGCTTAGAACAGACTGTATAGCCTCATGTAGGACGTCAAAAGTGGTCCTGGTCTTCAATTCCGAGCACAGTGCAAGGAAAGTGAGAGCTTCAGTCATGCTCCGGGGATCAGTCCATCCGTCTTTCAGGAAAGGGTAAAAGCTCATTTTGGACAGGCTAAGAGCTTGGACAGGGTAAGAGCTAGGGAGTGCCGTTGATCAAGTCGAATCCTGTTCGACTCCGTGGGGGATACCTTGTTCGGATTGGACCCGCCCAATGGGGGCTTTACGATCGTATTAGCCCGAGCAGGTAAGCAAATGTTTTCCAGCGTCATTGGAGCGGGCTCAATTGGATCCGGAGCATGAAATTCCAAGGCACTGACACACAATCTATATATGTCTTCCTTGCTAGATCAGCTGAATGATTAAAACTGTCTCACAAAGCTGCTTTTGGAGATGGCATTCAGAAGACATGGACAAGGTGATGTCCTGAAACAGAACGACTCCATCGCTGAAGATGATGCGTACCGTCAAGGCAGAGACCCAAGCACAACAGCCCAAACGTGATCTCCGCCCCTTCTACATTTCGTTTCTGTTTCAGGGCAAGGTTCTTGATCAGGTGGGCTGCTGATCAAGTGCATGCAATCCTTGATCAGCTATACAAATGCAGTCAATCTGCGGCGCTCAGTACGCGGCCATGTGAGCTGAGCACTTCTGAATTTGACGACTGAAAGGTACTCAGTGTAACAACCACCTTATCATCGGTTGTTCTCAAAACCTAACAGTTACTTCTGAACAGGTTCTTTGCCTACTTCCTGTGTGGGATCAAGGATTGAAGGCTCCCATTTTCTTTGTTTGCAGGCGCCAAAGGTTTGGCTTGCCCTTGGACCTGGACCCCTGGACCCTGAACCTTGCAGTGCCAGCTTGAAAGCAGGCTGTTGAAGAGAAGATGCTGCGCTTTTGCAGAATCATGATACTTTGGGTAAACCCTTTGGGGTGGCAATGCAAATATCTACACATGCTCGTTAGGCTACTCAGAAACGATGGCCACCCCTGCTGACATCACCTCCGCAATGATCCCTGCTCAGCTGAGAGCCTCCAAGCATCTGATATGGAGTCATAGCCTTTTGAACCTCCGTGGCTGCGTCTTCTCCGTTGGGAGAGCTCACACGGGCCCATCCATGGAGACCGCTTCTTCCAGTTGCGATAGCTTTTCGCAAGTATTGGATCAGCGGGGCGCCACAATGGGTGGGCCGCCGTCTGGTTCGCCCCCTCCGTTCCAGGAACCAGTACACTCGTTGCATCTGGAGGCGATTGTTGTGTTCCAGCATCCCTCGAATCCAGGTAATCTGGCTGCTGTTGGTTCCTGGTAGCCCCACTCGAAAACCTTATGCTTGTTGAGTCACCTTCTGAAAGCAGATGGCGTTCCCTTTTCCCCAAATGTTCCCAACAAGCACACTCTGAGGTCAAAACCAAGATCATGAGGTTCATACCCACTGCTTGGATTTCAAAATTCCTACTAATCCCTTGTTTTCTTTGTCCTGGTTGTAATTGATTTCAACCCAGTCCTGACATGCCCCCCTCCAACCAACTCCCCTTACAGTCTCCTGAATGATGACCAGCTCGAAAAGCTGAGCCTGTTCACCCTTGTGTTCTGACAAGAAACCAAAGATCCAGGCCCATGTAACCAGATCTGACTTTCTTAAGTGACCACACTCAAAACAGTTTCCAAGAGGGATACCTGTTTGCAGGAATACACCGTAAGTAGATTTCTCCTCCACAGAACGAGGGGCGCAACAGAGGAAACCCAGGAGCTTCAACCTCTGTGTTGACCTGCTTATCCTCTGACTGCAGAGCGGTTCCGAGCCATCCAGGTATATTCCCATGGGGGTTTGTTCCGGGCACTCCGTCAAGACTTCCTCCTCATACCCCACAATCACCACCTGCTCGAGGAGCCCACCGTCAAGTGAGCTCATCTCATCCTTATTGTGATCACAAAAGGAGTGTGGCGTGGTGGTAGCTTGAAGCACCAGCTCAGGATTTGTTTCTGCTCGCAGTTGTAGCTACACCAATCCACTATTAGGGGGCGCTCACTCTCAACGGAGCATGTCCACAGCTTTAAGATGCACGTCACTATCAACAGGACCATTTCTTATTAGCCAAAGAGCCAGACATGTATGATAGTCTGTGATGGTCATGTGTGAGCTGCCTGCTGGCAATTCTATTTTTTCCAGAGCTGAAACAAAGGTGCTGACGTAGTTATTGACAGCCTGAGCTCTGGTCAGCAGAAAGATCCAGGACTAAGGTGAATGTGGTGAAAGTTGTTAAGGACTTGATGGACACTTTGATCGAGCTCTGATATCTGTAATCTTGAGGTCTTGGCCATCCCTTGTGCCCCCTCAAGTTGCAAAGGCTGGGTTGGCAGTCTTGAGAACAAAGAAGCATTGCTTTAAGTTTTCCTGTGTATCAGTCCCAGCTCTAGGGATAAACTAGGCTGAATGAAGCGCCATCTAAACTCTGAGAAGTCGCGATGCCATCATCTGCAAGTTGAAATCAGCTGATTCACGCTTCTTTTGGCTCCAGAACGTTGCAGAATGAAGTTGCAGTAGTAGACTTTGTGACGCTTCACAAGAAGTACAACCAGGCAGATGGCTGGCCGTGCGTGCTTGAGTTTGCGGTCTTCCTCCCCTTTCCAACCACTGTCCCTCCACTCCTGTCGCCAAAAAGGTGAGCTGAGCACAGAACTAGCGAACCTGTGAGACTCAACAGCTTAGCATGCGATATAGATTTCGGGTCAATCAGACATGCCAAGAAGGGAAGGGGATCCAAAAGAGTAACAGACATCCATCCTCAGAGGTTTTTGAAATCCAGTATCAAGAGCTTCAAAGTATCAAATAGGTATTTGAAATGTTTGCTTAAAATTCTACTTATATCCTGCAACTCAAAGAAATATAGATTCGTGATTAAACAAGGGACTCAGCTCCTTTTATCAGAGTGGGAGCCATCCGACATGTTGGGAGAGCACCCTTCCATAAGATGTAACTCTGAGAGAGTTTGCAGCAGTACGGGAGCCTGCCGTACTGTATCGCTCGTCTCCAACACTCTGCACTGCAAACAAGCTCTGAGCCACGATCTGGACGCTTTGAAACAGATCATATGACGTTCTCGAGTAGCAGTGTTCATCCTGGGTGTATTCTGCACATGCCATGCAAATCGGCGTAGGAAATGTAGAATCTAGTCCTCTCCAGTCCTCTACAGGAAAGGTGAGCGTCCTTCCAGCTTTCTTGTTACGTCTTTTAAAGTTGAAACGATTTTCCAGGTTTATCACATCAAATATTTAAGAAGACTGAAATATCAGGATTCCACAAGCAAGCGTTGATACTGACGACTCTATTTAAGGGTCTCATGTACCATGTCCAACTTTTGAATAAGTCTTCTCTTCCCTTTCAGGAACCCTGACCTTGGTCAGTTACCTTCGTTGGTTCATGATCTGGCCTTTGTGGAAGCCGTTTTGGAGCATGCGCCAGCAGCTGGCATTGGCTCTGGGATTGGGCAGGACCCCATGTAAGTGCAACTCTCTCAAACATCATGCGCGACCTACAGCTCCAATTATCAGCTCCTTTTCCAGGCAGTTCACGTCTGTATTGGATCCACACAAGGCCAGTTCAGAGAACCCTAGAAGCTGGTGATCATAGGATCTCTGGATTTTATCAGGTTTTGCTCTGGTCTTGCAGTCTCATACGATGTCGAGAGTGCTGCAAACCTGAATGAAATTAGGATCTGGATCAGCCCCGATCTGCGACCGTTCCAAAATTTCGATGTGGCAAAGGATCCTTCAGCCAACAATCAGTTGCAGATTTTTCCTGCATGAAGCATTGGTGCCAAATCAGGACTCCCGGAAAATGAATAAAAACGCAGAAAACAGAGTACGATGACAAGGTATCTTCAGATCGACCGATCAGATCTACATAAATATGCTAGGTTCCAAGCGAGTGATCGTGGCGCTTACCCTGACCGGCTCCCTTTTGCAGTCCTATGGTCGCCGAAAACTCCGTCGCCACTCAGCAAAGCTTCTCTCCGTCTGAGCCACCCAGGAGCCACTTCCCGGCCCAACCCGATACAGCTCCCGACCACTCGTTCTCGGACAAATCCCTACCGGCCAGTTCTTCGACTACGTCGCTCAAAGACTCGCTCATGCGCAGCCTCCACCGCTTTGTCGGTGAGTCTATAACCCCCCTGTAACCACACTCTTCCACTCATCCCCCTCCTACAGTTGCTCTGCGTATACCCTCACAATAGACGCGAAGGTATCTTGAGCGAGGTACAGAATTGGGACTGATTGATAGTTAGCGGTTCTCCAAGCTCTTTGTTCGCCCGTTCTGCAGTGCCACTTACTGCTTATAGACCCTGCTTGATGTTCTGTGGGACATTACTAGCTCTCTTCAAACGCCCTATCTAGTATATGTTGTTTTCATGATCAATGCTTCTCCACCCATGCGATAAGCTTGCTCTCCGCTGGGAAAGTCGGAGCGCCTTCACCGCCCCTCTCTGACGTCATCTACTTTTCACAGGAGGGCATTCTTCCGACGCTACCGGCCCGGACTTTCATTTCGCCGCCCCGAACTCCTACCCGCCTGCCACCGACCGGTCCTTTCTACCGACCATCGCCCAGCTGGAGCAATCCGCCCTGTTCGCGCCCGGGTCCGCCGACCGGTTCCCCTTCCCCGGACAGCCCCCCCTGCTCGCCAACCTCCCGGGAGACAGCCCCTTCCGACCGGGCACGAAACCGGGCACGAAACCGCAGCTCCACGTCGACGTCCTGCACCGGGGGGGTGACTCCGAGTCCCTTAGCCTCGTCAGCCCGAGTAGCGTCCTCTTCCGGCGGCCCCCCTCGGCGCGAAGTGACCCCGGGTCCGTCGAAAACAGCCCCTGGCGGCCCCCCCTTTCTCCCGCCGGCCACCAGAACTTGCTCTCCTCGGGGGCCTGGCTGGGCGACCCATTTTCCCCCCCGCAGCGCGGCCACCCCCCCCTGCAAAGCGTGAGCTCCCTGGAGCGCCTGCTGGAGCCGGCCGCCTTTTACACCCCCCGGGGCGTCGTGCGGCCCACCCCCCAGGCCCGGTGCAAAGCGCTGCGCAAAGTCGCCTCCGAGAGCAGGCTGGAGAGCATCCCTCACCCCCCCATGCGGACCCGCCCCGTCTCGGAGAAAAAGCCCCCGCAGGCAGATCTCGGCGACCACTTTTTTCTCCCGGGCGGGTTCGCGCCCGCGCGGCCGCCCTCCCCGGTCGCCCCGCGCGCGCTCCCCCGCGGCTCGTCATTACCGCCCATGCCGCGCTCGCCTGATCGTTCGATTGCCCCCTCGTTTGGTGCGGAGCCGTTCCTGGCCCCCGGGTGGGGCCTTGCCGGGGGCGGCGCCGCCGCCGGGCCGCAGCAAAACCCGATCGAGTTACTCCCGACAAGGCCCGACCTCACGGCCGAGCGGAGTGGCGATTCGTTCGGTTCAGACGAACCGAGCTCGGCGGAACCCTCGCAGGGGGGTGCGCACGAGGGTTTGACCGCCCCGGGCCTCGGCCCCCCCGGAATGTATCACGGGCACGTTCACGAGCGGAAGCTGAGCCAGCCGGAGAAGATTAGTCAGGTGACGATTGAGAAGCTGCGGCCGTACTTCGACCTGCCGATCAAGGACGCGTGCAAAAAGCTGGGCGTGGGGGCGACGGTAAGCCTTGGCCCCAATCTCAGATTCCGAGTTTCTTGTGCGTGGGGATCCCCTTGAGGATGACAATCAGTGCGCTTTGCAGCGGGTCTGGCCGAGGTGGCTAGAAGCACGTAAGAGATATTGAAGGAGCCTTGAAAAGGTGCGCTTGTGAAGGACCTGATGCAGCAAATGCTACAAGAGGTTTCTCGTTCCGACGATACGGTACTGCCGTGTCGCCAGGAAACTCAAAAGCAGACCCGCAACGGATTAAGATCAGGTGCCGGTCTGACAAGCCCCCTTTCGTCTCCATGTTGTGAAATGCATCTCCCTTCCGCCTCCCGCATCTCATGTAAACGTATTTTGCCGCTTTGAAAAGTCTTCTCTTGTCCTTCAGAGCTCGATCTCAGATTACGTGACTGACTAATAACGGAAGTGTCTACCGATTTTTTCCCAGATATTGAAGCGGCATTGTCGTCAGCTCGGCATCGTCCGGTGGCCGTACCGCAAAGTCAAGAGCCTCCAGGGGCTGATTGGCGCCATCGAGGGGTTTGGCACAGCCGGCGACGCGTCGCTTGGAAAGCAGGTGAGCAGACGTAACGCTAACTACACGCAAGCGCCTCAGCGTTTCCGCCTCTAGAGGGCGAGTGAGGCGTCCTAACACTTGCGGTGCGTGAGAGCCTTACGTTTGGGCCTCTGCGAAGAAGGAGACCCGTTTTTGCAGGAGTGCTTATGTGCCGGCTCTCAAGGCAAGCGGCCATCCGCTGACCTGTCCGACGTCGCCCTCGACCTGCTGACGTCACTGCGAACTTCATTCTGACTTCATTGTCGAGCCCAAAATCACGATGAGATCTCGCACACCTGCATTCCTCACCCTCCGTCTTACTGCTAGCCCTGCCTCGTCCCGCTGACGTCACCGCCGACACTGACGTCACCGCAGGTCAGCCACGTGGTGGAGCAGCTGAAGCTGGAGAGGGAGCGCATCGACCACGCCCCCGATCAGGACATCACCGCGGGGACGAAGAAGCTGCGCCAGGCGTGCTTCAAGGCGACGTACCAGATGAAGAACGCGCGGAAGCCGCCGTCGCTGCAAGTCACCGACAGGGGGATCCCCGGGGCAGGCGCGGGGAGTGACGTCAGCATGCCAGGGTCAGGCGTGTCGGGGTTACCGGCGGACTGTGTCACGAGCACACAGGCTGCGAGTAGCGCGGCTTTTACAAGCTGCTAGAGATCAGGTAGCGGGGGAAGGTGTAGAAAATTACACTTCGCTCTAGTTTCAAGGCCGCGGGGGAGTGCCCGGTGGAAGGGGCCCAGCGGCCGAAGCTTGATTGGGAGCGAGGTCGGTTCAACTTATAAATTCTGTTGCTGGCGACGCAAGACCGCAATCTGCGTAGGTAGCATGTCGCCACTGAATTTAAATCAAGGCGGGACTAGAATCTTTTCAGTAAGGCCTTTGGAGTAGATAGCGCGGCTTGCATGCATAGTCGCCGATAATTGGCGCAGGTTATTCAATTTTTTCCGGGCTAGTAAATCCAACGTTCAGCTGAGACTGAGACCCGATGTAGCAAACTTTTGCAGGGTAGTGCTACTGTAGTTAGGCATGCCCGCTTGTTCCAGCTGACAGCGCGGCCTTCGCAGCCGGCGGTTCAGACTAGAAGAACGGTTTGTAGCATAGCTCGACGGTCACTGCATCTGTGCCTGAAGACTGCTCGTACAATCTGCATTGTAGAGGGCTTAACGCCACACTGAACTTTTGAAAATAGGCAGGAAAGCAAATCTTGTGCAAAAATAAGCAGGGAAGGGGATCTTGTGCTTGTGACGTGCATTGTCCGTCGGTCAGCCAAGATCTTCCACGACGGTTAGACTGGAATTGATGCCCCATGATGCCCCATGCACCCAGTCCTCAATTGCAAAGCAAATCTGGATCCCGCCGGGCCGGTGAATAAATGGCGCCATTAATATAAGTTCATTACGTTTGCAAGGCTGCTTGTCACGTGAAACGTCACCTCCGAGTCGCACTTCGATCATCGTCCGATGTTTCCATTCGGAATCCATTTGCCTATAGCTGGGCAATTTCAAACTAACTAAGCGCCAATAGTCGTTATTGTTCACCCATCGCGGAGTCTCTTGAGGCGTCATGCCGCTCAGGTATGTGCAAGCGCCAACGGCCGCAGACTAATACGTTGGCAAGTATGCTCAACTGTCGGCATGGAAGGATGATCAGTCATGCAGATTTAACGATCAGTCGAGGACTCCTCCGGGATCGAGTGAAACTGTTAAGAGTGCTGAGCCAATAAGTCCCTGTGGATATGTGTGATTTGACTTTTTCCAAACGCGTCTGGTCTCTCTGCATCTCGCGCATGCAGTACTGATTGAGTTCGAGCTCTATATACAGTCGGAAGACGGCCAGTGCATCGATTGCAAGCCCATGATATAGTAAAGCGGTGCATTTTCGACAACTTCTCGCGAATTGAATCTCATGGAGCCCGTCCGACCCTAGGAACTTGACGTTCTGAAATTTCGTAGATACTACTAAACAGATTGATTGACTTCGCTAGATCTAAGACCATTGCCCGACGGGTGCCCGACCGGTACCGTAAAGTTGACGCCATGACCGTTGATCATGCCCGGCAGGCTTCGAGTCTGCCCGATTTGACTCGTTAAGGAAGCAGTTTCTTCTGATCAGGTGCGTCCAAACCATCAATCTTAGGTTCTCCTTTCATGGAATCCGTCCTTTAGCAGCGCCGCTCGTTCCCCGGAGGTGTTTGCAGCACCACTCAAACACTCAAAACGAGCTCGAGTCAAGAAATTGCGCCGACATATAATATAATCATGCTTCATCGAACGGAGTCAGCTGTGAACTACCGGTGAGCGATTGGTGTTATATATGTCGCAGGCGTCAAAGTAATCCGATCAAACTTGAATGCTTGCAGCATCCAAATTTGCTGACATCACCATAGGGGCACCATAGATTCCGATCCTCTTTCACTTGAGGTACCTAGTTAGTAGTAGGTAGAATCCTAGTTTGCCTTGCCAGAAAGTTAGGAGGTTTCATTGAAAGGAGGTGTGGCTGCTGGCATACATAAGGCCTTATATGCGCCCACTGGCTGACATGCATATTTGAACCTCTGAGGCTTACGCGGGCACTCAAAGCCCGACCCAGTCCCGACTCCGGAGTCCGGGCCCGGGAACGG